AAGAAACTAAACTCCCTTCATCTATAATTTAACCTAGAAAAGAAAGCAAAATTGAGAGAGTAGTATGATTACATTGCTTGAGAACTAGTAACTTTACCTCCCCCAGTTTTATGGAAGTCACGCTCGGTTTCACTGTTTGCCATACCTTTAATACTGTGGGGTGTGGGCTAAGTGTGATATTGTAATAATAGTGAGAGTTTCTCTAACCATAGTTATGGACTATGGATTGAAATAGTAAATTATTCCTGGCAGACTGAATGGGCAATAAGACTGCCATCCAGTTCTCCTCATAAAACAAAGCAATAGATAAATAAAGCAGAGCCAACTCACTTAACCTGCGTGGCTCTGTGCACTGCTAATTATTAACCCAGGCGCAAGAGAGGGGTTCACCCGGAGTGTAGTTAAGTCATTTTTAATCGAGGTAAACACTAGTCATGTGGATGAGTAGCACTCAAGAAAGTTTTAATCAGCAACATTTAGGAATCACCCAGCCTAATTGCCATAACTTATTAATAATAATAAATAATCGCGTCTTTTTATGGCCCCTGTCTCTGGAGGACTCAGTGCATTAAAGATCTCTAGGGTGCGAATCTCTTAGTAGCTGTGGGGGAAGGGGCAAGTATCCTTGATGCTCATTCCTAACTGAAGACATTGGACAGCAGGGCTAAGAAAGGCAATCTGAGTTCCTTCTTTCTTATTTTCTTCCTCCCACATCTGAATCACCAACTTATACACACCCTTTCATCTATCTATAGGACCAGAATGGCTCCAGGGGCTAGTGGGGCTGGGGAGGCGGGGCAGGCGGAAGAACAGGCTTTCCTTTGTCCACGTGAATGATTGGGGTTGGGGTTTTCTCCCTTGGGAAGTGAGTAAGAGCAGAGCTTTGTCTGAAGGAGTTCATTTCCTCTGTACCAGTGTCCCTGGTGTCCTTTGGGCTCAACCTGATTCTGGCTAGAGCAGCCACTGGCAATTCCCCACTTCATACTGGCGTGATTTCCAACTCCTGCAAGAGCAGAAAAGATGGTCCTGAGTCTTATTCTCAGAGTAATTCCCCATAGCAGCGGATGGAATGGGAAAACATTTGTTGTATATCTAACTTTACCTTCTCACCACCATGATAGGGGTATTAGAATATGCCTGGGTTTTCAACAAGGAAACTCGAGCTCAGCAAGTGTAATGGATGGACTGTTGACTTTGTGGTTGGTTAGATTGAAAGAAGAATATCACACTCAAAGTCGAGGTCTTTTGATTTTTGTAAGTAACTACTCCCTATAGTTTAGGAGATGGGGGTGGTGGACAGGAACACCAGTGTAGCGAATGGTAAGAATATTTCAATGGCTGATACCCTTTGACATCCACAGTTTGGGAGAGGAAGTTAAAATGTAGCCAACAGCACAAAAACCACCACTTTCTCCTTTATTTCCCGTTTGTCTGCCCATGAATCATGCGTGCGTGAGCCAGGATTGCCATTTCGTTCTGGAAAAGTGAAATTTTAAAGAAGGTACCCAAACCATTATTAGACCAAAAAGATCAATAATAAGAATGGAATGATTTATACCTCAGACAACGAAAGACATAAACTTCGAGTGTTAAGTTCCAAGATAATTCACATGCAAAATTGTTGCAATATTCATACTAATGTTTATTAAAATTTACAGTTGAATAAAACAGTGCAAAATGTAAACAAAGCTGAAAAAGAGTTTTTGGAAAAATCTAAAATAGCTACCGTGAGTTTTTAGAATAGAAGATATGAATAGTTACTCCATGTATATTTGTCTGCTAAAGCGTGAAATATACAATGGAATTGGACAGAATAAGGTCACTAAATCCCTCCCTGAATTTCCATCCTCCCTGTCCACTGATACTTTTCAGTGATTCAGATCAGTACTGAATTTTGAAGGAAGTGCTCCTTGTCAAAACCACGCAGAGGAGGTTGAGGATTCTGGACGGATGTCGAGACTGAATCCGCATTTCAAAGACTAATCTTATTTCACTAATGTTTTCAGGGTTGGAAATTTTTGTCTGTATTCATTAGAGGGGAATGATAAATCTCTAGTTTGTACTTTGCTAATAATAGTCATGAGCTTTTGTGCTTCATTAAGGTTAAATGAATCTCATGTAGTCCTGGCTCAGCCTTTAACTCCATGTGTGATCTGGAGAAAAATCTCTGAATTGTCTGGGACTCAGTTTCCTCATCTGTAAAAGGAGGTTGGATCAGATGAGTGCTAAGACAGACCAGCCCTCTTTCCCTCCCTCGTAGGTGGGAGCTTGCCATGCCCAGGCAGGTAGGATCCACAAAGGTGTTTAAGAGACATTGCTCTTGTCCTCAGGAGCTCATGGTCTATATAAATAACTTATTATAATAAGAGCTATAATTGCAACATGCACAAATTACTCCAGGGGCACAGAAGCGGAAACAGTGAATTCCCTCTCTGTGGGAATAGACTTCACAGTGGCTGTGACATTTGAAGGCTGAGTAGGAGGGCTCCTCCAGGTGTGCTGGCTGGTCAGAGGGTGGGTGGTGCAGACTCTGGGTTCCAGGAAGCAAGTGCATGTGAAAATGGTATATTTAGGGAGCTGCACATGATTCTCACAGTCTCTGGGCAGTGGCATCCCACACACTGCTGGATCAGAATTTGTACTAATGATGAATTACTGAGGTTAGAGACTACTGTATAGTGTGTATCACTTAGAACAGAGTCAAGGTTTCCTGTAGTGGCACTGATAGGACCCATTTACATCCCAGCTGGCTTTGTTGAGTGTAAAAGAAATGGCGGTATTTTTGCCAATTCCCTGGGAATTATGAGCCTGCAATCTGTTTAACCTGCACCACAACCACTGGCCTCAGTGTACCCTTGGGAGTATGAACAACTCCCAGTGGGGTCACGTGTGCCCAACTGGAGTGAAAACTGCCACCATAGATCTTCTCTTCTTGCAGGCTGTTAACCTATAAGGTACGTGTCTCAGCCACACCACTGATGGACCCCTGGTTCTTTGTGACTATGTAGGAGCTGATGTTTCTGGTAATGACAGAGCAAAATTAGATGTTGATGATATGTAGTTCCTACTTAATTTTTAAGATGAAAATAACATTAGCTTTAAAATTTGGATTGTAAATGTAAGGCATGTTCATTGCTAAAAATTAATACAGAAATGCTTGCATAAAATGTAAAAAAGGTGACCCTAAATTCCATCTCCTGAAAATAATCAATATTTCTGTGATCATTGTCACAGATCTCTCTTCATACAGGTACATAAATGGGCTCAGGATTATATGTGCCATTTTGCTATCTAATGTTTTCATTCAAAATAATCAAGGTATTTAAATAGCCATTTAAAAGAGCTGCACAATAATCCATTGTGTGAGATATATTATATTTGGCTTGATTCCTTATTGCCAGACAATCAGGCAATATCCAGTGTCTTGCCAGTATAAACAATGTCATGAGGAACATTCATGTAGATTTCTTTTATATATTTTGTTATTTCATTAGATTAAAGTCCTAGGAGGGGTATTGTTGGGCCAAGGAGTGCATATTTAATACTTTTTTATATACCGTCAAACTATCTTCCAGAAGTTTCATTCCTTTTTACAGTCCTAGCATCAGAGCAGGAACTGGCTCATGTCTGAGTGGTGCTGTCTGTATCTCTGCTGGTGTTCTTTTGTCTTTAAGTTACTGAGTGAGAAAGCATGAGCAAATGAGAGTACTTTTGGAGTGAGTGGGAGGTGGTATAAGCAGGGTGAACCTGAATCCACGTGGGAGATGTCAAAAATTACTTGGCATTTGTACATATGTTTATCAAAAAATATATACGGAAATGTTCATCACAATTCCTAATTTCCAAACGTTGAGAACAACCCAATATCCACCAACAGTCGAGTGTAGAAATAAAGTGTAGTATAACCCTACAGTGAAATACCACACGGCAGTGAGAATGAATGAGCTACCACGTGCTACGGTATGGATGACTTCAAAAGAAGCCAAGAAAAGAATTCATGTTGTATCAGTCCATTTACATAAAATTCAAAACCAGGCCATTGAATTTCTGGTGGGGTGGTAGGTAGTGACTGCTTGTTTATTTTTTTAACTAGAGTGTGTGTGTGTGTGCGTGTGTGTGTGTTGAGATGGAATTTCGCTCTTGTTGCCCAGGCTGGAGTGCAATGGCGTGATCTCGGCTCACTGCAACCTCCGCCTCCCGGGTTCAAGTGATTCTCCTGTCTCAGCCTCCTGAATAGTTGGGATTATACGCACCCACCAACATGCCTCGCTAATTTTTGTATTTTTAGTAGAGATGGGGTTTCACCATGTTGGCTATACTGATCTCAAACTCCTGACCTCAGGTGATCCTCCTGCCTCAGCCTCTCACAGTGCTGGGATTACAGGTGTGAGCCACCATGCCTGGCCCTAGATTTGTGTTTCCTGGTGTCAGTGTAATTGGCATTTAGGGTATTTGGTAGCCTCTCAATATTTGCCGGAAAAAATACATTAATTTTTTTTTAACTTTTCTAACAGACTTCGACCATGCTTGTTCCTCTATGGTGTTGAATGAGTTACTTAACTTTCTGGAGCCTCAGTTTCCCCATCTATAAAATGAGAACTATAATAAAACTTACTTTATAAGATTGTTGTGAAACTAATATCAATATAAATAATAGCTGCTGATTTTTCTATGTTTACTATGTACTGGGCACGGGTCTAAGCTCTTAAAATGTATGTCATCATTTGTTTAATTTTTCCCATACTTAGATCTATTTTGTGGTTTAGGGAACTGTAAGTCACAGAGTTAGTAAGTGTGAGGCCAGGACTGAAATGCAAGCAGTCTCATTCCAGAGCTTGAGCTCTTAAGCACTGCCTCCTGAATTAAAGGAAATATGCATAGAGTGCTTAGCAAAGTCAGCATATGTTATCATCATACTGTGACTTTCAACATTGTTATTAATATTTTTTCTCCTCTCTTTCTCCCCTCTCCCCTCCCCTATTTTTCTTCTCTCTTGGCAGATGTTTTTCAGCAAGGTAAGTTCGCTGTTTCCTGCCTGCGTTTTCACTGGCTGTGTGCTCTTTGGGGAATATGGGTATGGTCTGTGTGCAGAGGGTTATAGGACTTCTCATCCTCTATGGACACGTCATGTGGGACCTCAGGGACACCATGAGGACAGTGGCTTAAAGTGTCATCAGCCTCCCTGGGCCTCTGCTGTCCAACCTCTGCTTCTTCCTCTGAACCATGCTTTGGGGTAGGATGTAGACTGGACAGCTGGGCAGGGACACTTGGAGAGGGGTCTGTGGCTGGGCCCTGGAAGGAGGGAGGGATGCTGTGGGCGTGGTGAGGACTGAGATTCTGGAGGGGAGTCTGGGGGAAGGCCCCTGTCCATTGGGGCTCCTACATCTGGGTCAGCTGCTGCTCCCTGTACCAGAGCCAGTGGAGATTCCTTTGCCAAGCAAACATGCCACTGTTGTAGAGGTGTGGCAAGGCCATGGCTGGCTGGCCACTTCATGCCTTTCAACCTCACCAACTGGGTCTGTGACTGAGATAGTGTCACCCAGGTGAGGGTGTGCAGTGTCGTCTGTTTTACTGGGCAAGGTCATGTGCTCTGAGGAGCTGGAGGTGAAATCCTAACCCCACACTGGCCCATGTTTTAATCCCCACTTAGGATGCAGAGCCATTGTGCTCTGGGGTGCAGCAGGAGACTCATGGATCATGGCCTCGAACCTTCTGGATATACGTCAAGGGGGAATTGCCTTTTTAATCACAGCTTGACACTACTGGGTAAAAGTAGCAGGGTATCACTGTTTGTAGTCAAGCTGGGAAATATGTTGGTAGCACACATCTGCTGTGTCTTTCTGGAATCTAAGGCTGGCTTAGAATAAAAGAGACTGTTTTAAAAATATACCCAGGCATTCCATAAATAGCTTCCAAATAATCTTACAGGCTTGGTATTTTCACAACTGTTATTTCACCCGAAACATGCAGCGTGTGTTATGGAGAATATCTGCTTTCTCTGATAGAAGTGCAGTTGTGGATAACAATGAGGGTACTGTTGTATTGTCTTTTAAGAGTCTGGAGTCATAGACTTACTTTTATAAATAATTCATAAATCCCAGCAAGCTATAAGTAATAAGTTCCATTTGGCTAGAGACTAAGAGATGAGCAAAATTGAAAAGGTGTCGTGACTGTTCGTGTAATGAAAGTGCTGCTGTCAGGGCCTGTTGCTGCAGTGAGTTTTCTTCCTTGACAAACTGGGGGGTCAGTGGGGCACTCTAGGCAGATCATTTTTTTTCTGTGAACTAGAATGTAAGCAACGCCACGCTGGATTGCATTTTTCCTCTTGAAACACAAGACATTTGAGTTTGGAAAGTCTTTCTGGAACATGTGTGTTGAGGCTCCTGGAGAATGGGGAGAGGAGAGGCCGGTGTCAGATCTGGCTTTTCTATACACAATGGTGAGCGTTCATGGTGGTTGTAATTGGCAGAAAAAAAAATGGCTTACCAGACTGCCTCTGTCGAGTTTGCGTTCTTTTTTAATCAGTCATGCCATTCGATTGATGGGATTTGCCTGTCAGTAACAATGATATGCAGAGCAAAAGTTATAATCATCTACAAATCACCGGCTATGGAGACTTCGTAACAACTGCCAGGGATGGAAGCTGCTAGCTACCCATCGCTCTGTGTGTCGGTGGGCAGCAGCTCCCTTATAAGGTATTACTTGGATTTCCAATGGAAGGAACTGAACTTGCTTTTGTGAATTATTTACACGGCTCGGGCCGTATTGGACCATTTCATATGGAGACATTCTCTAAAATAATGGCAAAGAGCTCGCCTGCTGGTACCCCCTCCTTACCTTTGTTTCTGGCCATCCTGTTTATGAAAATATTGCTCCGTAAAATGTTCAGCCGGTGACAGTCACATCAGCTCTGTGTCTTACAGGCGGAATCTAAAACCGTGATCTCCACAAGGTCTTCTGTGGTTGAAACTCAGGGCCAGAATTGTACCATTAAGTTGAAATATGGGGAATGATGAATTGTGCTAGAAATCCACAAGCAGAAAATGACTTAGCTTCAAATGAACAGATGCCACTGCGTTGTCTGAGGCCCATGCACACAATAGCAACATTGAGTGGCCCTGCCTTCCTGGACACGCCATGGGCATCCAGGCCCTGCTTGCTTTGACGTGGCCAAGGAGTCATGGGCAGTTGGGGGAAACACCGCTTGATAAATGTGTGCTTCTGGCAGTGAGGGAGGGAGGACTCTGCCCAGTGGAGTCCCTGCTTATCTGGGATGCTGTGCACTGTGGCAGGCAGAAGAGGGAAGCAGGCTTGCAGCTGACAACATCAGACGTTCTCAGAGGAAACAGAAGTTATTTCCTCTGGATTGCATTATCTTATATTTCACTACAGATCAATCTTGTTATAGTAGGTGACAGCACAGCAGTTACTGCTGGGTTTTGCTCTGCTGTATCTGTGGCATGTGCACATGAGAGTGTGCTTCTACCCTGCTCTCATGCCATTTTATAGCTTCTTTCTGTTCTTTCATCTGTAAATGCCACTTGCTGTGACGTTGAGACCACAGAGTCTGAGGATGGTCAAGGACCAGCAGGCCTGTAGCTGGGCCTTTCTACATACGAGTTCCGGGGCCACGAGGCCATGTTTTCAAGGAGCCTTAATTGACCTACATTCCCTGTTGTCCACAGAGGCATTGGGTGGCTCTCAGGAATTCCAAAGTGCCATAGAATTGCTCTTCGCAACTTCAAATGCAATTGAAAATTCTGTATGTGCATGCGTGTCTAGAGTCTTGAGTTTTAGAGCACTTTAATGCCAATCGTTTACTAATGATGAAGTCAGGACCACACAGACACACATGCACGCCTCATTTGAACTTACTGAAGCACCTTTTGAATGCTCATCCGTTGCCTCAGCCTTGATTCTGAAATCGAACAGAAACTGAGCAAGCCGCTTGGAAATCGCAGCAGTACCACTCAGCAGAGCATTTTAAAGCGTAAGTGGGCGTAATATAAAGATTTCACCATTTAGTTAATCCTCCCTGCACTGGCAGCTGAAGTCCCTTAAAGACTCTGAGCTCAGGGAGGCATAACCTTTCCTCCTCCCCTGTTCTCATCTGGAGCCAGGATCTTGTTAATGGAGAGATTTTTCTTCCGGCTCCAGTAATTTGCGATACCCCTCAAACACAGGGCATGACATGTTTATTCTGCAGCTGGTACATATGTGCAGGGCACTTTCTAGACCTTGAGAATAAGTGAATAAGACAGCACAGGGTCCTGTTTTCAGAAAACTTACAGTCTAGCTTGAGGGGCATTCTGTAGCCAAGTTTACAAATAAACGTGGTAAATTCAAACAGGGATGAATGGAGAAAATATCTCAGGGTGATGTGCTAGTGGCTACCAGGGCCACTGCAGGAGGAGTGGCCAGAGAATGACAAGTAGGGCCAGTTATTGAAGTATCTTGGCGAAGGACAGAAGGATTTACAAGGTAGGAACACCCGATGTTCCAGGCTCAGAAGAAAGCCTGGGGTGTGTCTGGAGCTCGCGAGTGAAGGAGAAAGTTGTGTGAACAAGGAGAACAGGGCAGGCATCTGGGGGGCTGAGAGAAAGGGAGTCGGAGATGAGTTTTAAGCAGGAGAATGGCATGATCTTATTCACATTAAAAAATGACCACTCTGGATGCTGTGAAAATGCAAAAAAACAGTACATGAGAAGCACAAATCAGGACCAGGGCTGAGTGCTGAATGAGAGGTTCTAACTGCCTTGCTTCGTGAGTCTCTGCGCTCTCAGGTGGTGGGAACGGGTAGCCCCATTCCCAGCCAGCTCACCTCTGCTAAGTGCCCACTTTCTGCTCGTTTTGCCTCAAAAGGGTCTTGTGCCCATGACTTACATCTGCTCTCCTTAAAGCTGGCAAATATGCTCATCAAGACATCATTAAAATATTCCTATATGTATCTTCAGATTTTAAATAGCCACTTTTCTACAATACATACATACATGTGTGTATCATATGTATTACATGCCTATGAGGTAAAAAAAAATATATATATATATATATATCATATATTTTTTAGCCTCAGCTGAGTATAATGCAGAGGAAAGACACCAATTCCAAGGTCTCCAGGACCATTGGCAACAAAGAAAGGGTTTGTTTTTTGGGGGGGCTGTAGCACCACATGCCCATTTGCCATGGGCAGCTACTCCCCAGTCCTGCAGAGTGAGGCCAGGCAGGAATTTGGACCCATGATGGCCACATAGCCAGGATTTTCAAGAGAAGCCAGGAATCTGGAATGGTGTGCCAAACCTTACAATGTTTAAGCTTTTAATTAAAGGTTAAACAAACAAACTGAACTCATCTATGGCCAGAATGGCTTCTGATCTCAGATTGGTGGCTGGTGATTAGGAAACCTCAGTTTTTCTCCAGCAGGGTTGCTGCCTTTGCAGGGGGAGTTTGGGCCAGGTGCTTTGGCCTCTGGCCTCAGTTTTCTCATCTGTAAAAGGGGAGACTTGGAGAGATCCTGTTTGTCTTTCTGTAGATACTCTATCTTGAGACGTTTTGAGTGGACTTGAATTAATAGAGTACAGAAATATCCCTTGTGCAGGTTTTTGCTATACACTAGATAACCTGGGTGAAAGCGGAGGCTTCCCTCGTGGTGGTGAATTAAGGTTAAAAGAATGTGGTTTCAGAAGTATAACCTGTTCCCATGGCCATTTTGAAACATCAGCTCTTTCTCACATGGATACATACTGGAATCCACAATGGACGGCATTGCTTTTATTAATTTGAAGAGAACAATAAATCATAGTTTGGTTTCTGGCAGTCGAGCGCCAAGCCTGTTAATTGTTGGGGTGGGCTTGTGGTGACGGGCCCACTGCCATTTATCAGGAGCTTGACTTGAGCTCTTTTGCATATTTCAAACTTATGGGTCAAACTGCTGGGCCTTTGTCTTAGGTTTACTCGCCACTTCTGAAAACCCATCTATTATAAAGGTACAACCCCTCAGCCATGAATTATGCTCCCC